CAGCTATTTGACACTTGTCACATAAAAAAAATAGTAAAAAAAAATGGAGGGAGAGTGAGACAAAAGGGGAGAAAAGAGTGGGGGAGAATGTGCCGGCCTATTGGGACCTGCACATTAGGGATTTGCAGGTCCGTACTGTGATCTCATTCCTCCAAAATTCAAGGAGGGCAATCCGGATTGCAGAGATATGGCCTTTGGGGCAATATTTCCACAAAATTTGAATTAAAAAAAGAAAAATGAGAGAAAATGCAAAAGGAAAATGGTCGGTTTTCTTTTGGGCCATGGATCTGAGACTGAGATCCATATAGGAGGGAATATGGCCGTTTTTTATGAGGCCTACCCAAACGGCCAACTCCAGAATGAGTAAGCAACCAAAAATGGAAAGAAACAAAAAAGAGAAAAAAAAAAAACTATGTATTTGGCTCAAAAAAACGGTAAGATGCACCAAAAATTGAAAAGGAGAGCTTAGGGGCTCAAATTTGGAGCAAGGACTACTTGGGGGTGGCACGGAATATTGGTTGTCTTGGATCTCAGCCAGATCCAAGGCTGAAACAACAGCGAGGCATGGGAAAATACCTCGGCCTACCAAAAATGGGGTAGAAACTAAAAAAATTGAGAAAAAAACCCACTAGGCATTTTTCTCTCAAGTGTGGTTGCCCGTTGGGCATTAGGACTCAAAGGGGGAGCATTTTGAAAACAAAAAGGAGGCTGAAGGAGGCTGAAGGAGGCAAAGAGGCAATCCGAGTTGGTACCAACCACTCGGACTGCATGTACTTAGCCAAAATGAGGCCAGGTACCTCCGGAAGAGCCTAGTGGTGGAATTTCGCCTTGGGGGTACCTCGATTCACCTCAAGGCACATGGGGATGCCCATGGGCTGGCCGGAGTGTTGGTTTCAGCCTACATAAGCTGAGGATTCAGTCCGCCACACTCACATTTGCATGAGGAGTGCCCATGGTGCCCTAGTGAGCTCATAGGAGCACTTCTTCACTTAGAGAGAGGAGAGGGGAACCCCTGCCTGTTTGGGAGCTTAGAGGAGACTATGAGCTAGTGGAGGGAGCTCTAGAGGTTAGTGGTAGTCAGGCTGGCCTAGGGAGGTGATCCACCATAGCCCCTAGGCTGTGAGGAAGGGAGAGAGGCTAGAAGGAGTCTCATTCTTCATCTCCCCCCTCTCATCTCTCTCCTCCTAACCCTCCAATAGTCATCTACATTCATTTTTTTTCTCCCTTCATTGTCTCTCTCTCTATAGGAACTTTCCTAAGCTTAGAGTAGATGGTAGGGATCCTTGTCACTAGTAATGATCTCCCCATGGGCTCATCCTTCACTCCCATGTGAATCGCCACTTTTCCCCTTGTGATTTCATGCATTTGGGTGAGTTACACTCACTCTTTTATCACTTTCTTGCCTCTTCTTCACTTGGGGGGAAATTGCAACTCTTGTCTTTGCTTAATCTAGTGTTTAGATGATGATTACCTCTTGTTTAGTCCATTCCATCACTCCCATGTGAAGCGTTACTCCA